TATATATATATACATGTATATATACTCACACACACTCACACACACACATATATATATATTAGCTCAAGTATATAATTATTTTCATGTCTCGCTTGAATGATATATCTGAAGCGGTCCATGCGTACTCCAAAAGAATATAAAGAGCTGAGGAGCGAGACAAGCCCGAGTTGTAATTTATGCCACTTTGTACACCTTAATCGTAATAGGCGTTGCATACTTCATCGTAATCAAATATATTGCGACTCAGTGATTATAACTGAACCCATACACAGTATAAACTTCGATCGTACCTTCAGAGTTGAAGTCAATCTTTTCCCGTGACCTGCCGTTACCCATTGTGTATATATCAGATGGGGCCGTTGTTCACTATATTATGGCCCGATGTTCATAGGGTAGGCTGAAAAGTATACTGCGAAGTTTCAAATATGATTCCTCTTCAGATCATAGCCATCATCAGCCCAAGTGTAACTGATAATCGTATTGTCCTGTCACGTGTGACGGCTAATCGTGATTTAGTCCGACCCCTACTCGATACTATGGATTTGTGACCTGTTATTGCTTCTGATTTCAATTTAGTTTCAATTTCTCCATCCCTGAGCGTAGATAAGCGCCTCGTGATTATATTCTAATTGAACCTGCTGATTGTACCGCGTCACATTTACATACACACTGACCATGCCCATTCCAATTCATGTACTGTATATACTATATATATCTGCAACATCTCTTTTTTGAGTTGTATGGATTATTGAATTTGGAGCCCTCGACTCTACAAGGCAAATCCGCAACTTGCCCACAAATTGTTTGCCCTATTCGTATCCAGTATCCACTATTCAGTATTCTAATTCGAAGTTCCCGCACAAACATTCCAGTCTGTCTTCGCGATTTGATATGGAGTAAAAAAAAGTAAATAAATAAACCAATATATTTTATATAATAATTAGGATTGGTGTCTGGACAGTGGACAGTTGACGCTAATGGTTGACAGCGATTGACCCCAGCTTTTCAGTTGTGCATTCAGCCATTCACTCCACTGTGAGAAGTTGAGCTGTGAACTGTTGTGAGTGTGTGTCCTGTACTGTACTCTGAGGACTGAGAGTCTGTGAGTTCGCAAGACAATTTGTGGCCTGTGGGGCTGTGCGGCGTGGGCTGTGGCTGGGAATTGGGATGTTCATCAGTTCATGTGGCTGTGCCGCGGTGGTCCTGAAGACCTGGACAGTCTGTGCCCTGTGGGCTGTGGACATATGCGGTTGATAAAAATTATGTCCTCGACTTCGAGTCCTCTGAAGTCTGATGAGTCATGAGTGATGACTTTGTAAATAAAAATAGTCTTCCCCCGATCCCCTTCTCTGTATGAAAACCCATGGTCCTCTGGAAGTCTGGATTAGGTCATTAGGCCCTTAGGCCTTAGACCTTAGGGTCGCGAGCAGAAATCAGGTTTTCTTTCGACGACATCGTAAATTAATTTAGCAGAGACCCAAATCCAGAAGGCCATGGAAAGCCAAACTGAATGGGATCAACGACTATTTACCACAGGTCGCTTCTCTATATATAGAGTCTCCACTTGCTAAATAATAGTAAAATACATAAAAGCTATTTTTTTATATATATTAAAATGAAATCCAACCAAGTTTACACTCTCTCGACAATTAAATATAAATAGCCTTCTACTATTTAGAGTCGAGACTCGAGAGTCTCTGCTGACAGTCTGCCATACGCAGAGTAATTATTTTGTTTTGAAAAAATAAACACACAAAAAAATCAGGGCTCAGGCCCTCTGCCTCTGAGGAGTCTAAATTAGGGTCGCGAGCAGAAATCTCAGTAGCGGAAATCGTATAAATTAGCAGCGACCCAAATGCAGTGGGCCTTGAAATAGTACCAAGAGACCTATACGTAAATATTGTTTTTAAAATAGTCATATTTTGCTGATCTTTTTTTTTTAAAAGAGAAGGCTATTTATGTTTCAGGTGGTTATATATATAAATAGTATGTATTTTTACGAGACAGCGCGAAACACCGATATCTGAAGATTTGATTATTAAATCTCACGTTCCGTAATAAGCGAAATCGTGGGCCCGGGTGCGGGTCTATCTCTCGCAAACCCAATAAAAAAGGCAGAAGGCAAGAAGTACAGTTCAGTATAAATATATTCTACTGTATGTATTTTTTTTAACACAGAAAGTACTCACATAAGAAGCGTATGCTTGTGGAAGGATGGCTTACGCCCAATAGCACCCAAATCTGAACAGCTTACTTGTAGTTACTATTATCAATTACTGCGTTCAGAGGTATATAGTACACAAGAGAAGACCAACAGAGGAACGGACACATAATTTAGGCGCACAGATAACCCAACTTTGTAAGTGGGTCGTAGGTAGCACCATATGTGTGCTTTATCTTGCAATACTATATCTGAACTTGTAGCAAGAATCACTGTAGGATAATATCAATAGTTCGTGAAAATTCAGCTAGAATAACAGAATAGATAGAAGCCCCATCCCAATAATCACAAATCCTGGCAAGAATGGCGGACTCTGAAGACTGGGAAGCGTTGGATAGTGCGGGCGAGTTTGACAAGGTGCCCGACTCTGGTGCCACGATTGATCGGTATGGGTTTTGTGACGACATGATATCGCATGTAAAGTGAGAAGCAATGTGTATGCATCTAAATGTATTGGAATGAGGCCAATGTTTCCTACCGTAGTTTACTATTTAGCACAGGCAATATATATAATCGTTAATTCGCTACTTTTTTAATTGTACTAGATTTTAGGTCTGTTTGTGTCTCGCTGGTAGTATTTGTATACGCGTTTTACTCATAAAGTGTGCATGATTATTAAAATAATATATATATATATATATATGTGTGTGTGTGTGTGTGTGTGTCGCGTGTGTGTGTGTATGTGTGGGTATACGCGTATGTGTGTGCGTGTGTGTATGTACAAGGTATTTACATTTATATTTATATATATATATATATGTATATAATATATATAAATATAAATGTTTTTTCGATTATTCTAGACATTTTTTAAAAATCAGTTCTGTGTGTTTATAGTTCTTTCAGTATACATATTCATAGATTCTTATATTGACTCGCATATCTCGTGCACAAAACACATATATGCACATGATTATAATACTGGATGTGATAGCTATTTCAGTGTATGTGTTTGAGTGTATGTGTGTCGGAGTATGTGCATATGTGTGTTCGTTTGTGTCTGTGGTTGTATATGCACGTATGTTTAGCTGTTTGTATGCCTATAAACGTTTGTATACGCATACATATATATATATATATATATATGTGTGTGTGTGTGTGTGTGTATGTATATGGTGTGTGCTTGTGTAGAAATTAAATTGTAATGATATATAGATTGGTACATATTCCTTCTGGATATAGTTTGTTTGAACTTAAACTTGAACGAATGGCTAGGGAACATTATAGAGATAATATTTAGTTGGGAACGCCGACTAAACTCGAAACAGGTTTCATTTAGCCTACTGAAATTCAATGAATCTACTTTGTAGATACTCGAGCGTCGCTAATCAAGTGGATACCCAATTCTCTGCTATGGCCCTGGGCGCAAATAACAATTCAAACGTGGTATGTCGCCTATATAGTATTTGAAACAATCTTGGATACTCATACACGCTGTTTGCTTCTCGGGCATACACGAGCGAATCAAGACTTAAAAGTGCGATGATGACGCGGTGTCTAGTACTGATCGGTGTAGTCCAGCAATTGTCTTGAATTTAACGGATTATCCAATTTCGTGAAATCCTCGAATTATTCGATAGAAGGTCCTGCTTGAGAATTTGGAGAAGCATAAGTATTCAGCTTCACCATTTGTCTGATTTGTATGTGTATTCGCTAGATTTTCAAATGCACGTGCGTAGCTCGCATGTACCTTTCGTACATGCATCTTTATATTGACGTGCTGTCTCATCCTGTGCGTTTATGTATGCAGTTGATTCTGATTTAATTTATTTACTGTTGATTAGCACGTGCCTTTGTACTGACGAACCTCCAATTTCGCAATCACTGTTAATCAAACAGTCAGCAACGAACGTGAAAGTACAGATCCTTAGGCGGCCTAACTCGAGCCAGAACGAAACTCAACCGAAGTTGCTTAAACGCCCCTCATCGCCTGCAACGGTGACCTCTAGTGAGGGCCAGGAAAAGCCTGCGCCAGTTACCAAAACCGCAAAGGCTGGGCAACAAGGACATGGTAATAAGACAAAGGGGAAGCAATTAGAAGGCAAAGCAAGTAAAACGCTAACCCAGCGCGAGATAGATTATGCTGCAGCGAGAGAGAAAATATTCGGCCAGAATCCCGTGGCATCGGGCAGCACCGGATCGCTCAGTGGCATGGGCAGTGGAGGGTCTGGGAACTCCACACCCACACCCACACCCACCCCAGTCTATTCACGGAACAGCTACAACAATCACAGCGCAAACCCGAACAATATGAATAGCAATTACAGTACAAATTATATGACCAACAGCCATTACGGCAACATCAGCGACCCCAGCATGGCAAACATTAACAACAACAACATGGTGAACGTAAGTATCACACCAAACACCTACACAACGGCCTACATGCCGTACAGTAACCATGCGTACGCCCATCAGGTCGGCACTCAGTCGCCCACCTATTCCAATAGAATGTCGCCCACTCCTAGAAACGGGCCCGGCGTGCCCATCGCCAACAGGTACGCGGCCGAGTACACCGTGAGATACCCAGTCAACAATGTACCGAACACTAAAGCCGCGCCAATGAACAGCAACATCATTCGAGAGCCTAGGGTTGCAGACAATTCTCGTGGTTTCGGGGTTGCAAGGGGTAACGCGGGGAACGACGTAACACGCCCGTCTATGGACTCTACATAGCAGGCACTTATAAGATGATATTGTCGAACTGCACAGGTAGCGAGTTGCGACAATTATATATTGAACATATAAAGAACTTTTTATACATATTTGATTTCTGCTACCATGTTTTAGAACTCAACTAATTGAAAGGCACGCACTGTGGAACTGATAAGTGAATCCCTATGTCACACACCCATTTAATTTGGCGAGCAATGACTCGGCTAGAGATAATCTCAAGCTAAACATTGGTAAGGGCAAGTCTATGAATTCTTGCCCTTATGAATTCTTGCCCTTCCATCCAGTGTACGCCTGTCGAACAACAGAATATCTCAAAAGTGAACATGCAAATATAGGTTGAAACCTAGCAATCATGATTGATTTCAATGCACTCCATCTCGCCTCGCGTCGTAGATGGTAACTCATACAACTTGTACTGCATGTTGATATAGTGGGAATGCGCAGAGCATAATTTATATTTACTTTAAAAGGACTAGAAGGTATATGGATTGGGACTGAGCACATATATAAGAACGGTATCAACAGCGGAGAGTCAATTGTCGGCTTGTAGGTGCGAAGTGGCAAGGTGAGTCACGGGCCCGATGTGACCCTCTCGGCCGTCTAGTAATATCTCCCCAGCATTTTTCATTCCAGCGCCAGCGTGAAGGAGAACGTTGCCAGCCATGGACGGGATCACATAGCAGGGAGCGTAATACAAGTGTGCGCAGTGCCGTGTGGTTTCATCGCAGGTCATCCCCTCCTGGGCATGGCTGACGGAAGTATCCGAGGTTGTGAGAAGGCTAGATCAATGCGGTCAAACCCCTATTCGGACGGACTGACGCACCTCCAGGCTTGAGTACCTCTTGAGATATCACTGGTTGGAATAGGCATACTCGCGAACCTCGCCGTCACTCGCTATTCGTTCAGCCACTTCCCTACTTCTCCCAAGTCAGGTATTTGTGATCACCCAGCTGTCTGGGTGATACCATGTGACGCACCAGCAGGATAATGCCGGTGACAAGGCTGAGTGTGCCTACCACCATATACGCGATGCCCATGAAGTTGTTGTTGCCACCAATCCAGCTGCTGGTACTGAGAACCATCATCTTTTTACCATTGAACTTAGTCACGGGGTAGTTGTAAGTAATCTGGATGGGATTTGCAAGATAGACAGTTTGACAGATTTGAGATACTGTTCGTTGGCGTCAAATGCACTCTCAAACGGGACCTAAATTATCTCGCCTGCGAACTGCGTTAACTAAGCGTAGTAAACCGGATCATAGATTTGAAAGACAAAGTTCAAAAAAAACCCCACCCCAGCCCAACGCCGAACATACGTCAAAAGTGTAGGTCCCCGCTGGCAAAGTGACATCGGCGATCTTACGGTATAGCTTGCGGAACTTTGGTAGCGCAGCAGCCCTCATCCAGACAATGAGATCCAGATTCTCGTAGCCCTACACATGATATAAATTGAGATCAGATATATAAGAACAGGTGTGTATGGCTGGGGAAGAAAGGGTGGATGGTATGTCATGGAAAGGTAGAAAATTTAATGCGAGTACTACTCTAAACATGAATACCTCTTGCCGACGAGATAAATATTGTAATAAATGGATGCATAATTTGGATACGCCCAAATCAATTCACAAATTACCTCAAATCCGCAGGAGCACTTTACGCTAGCTGAAGAGTAGGTTTTGAGGTCTGAACTTGTTTCGAGCACGTTCACGCACCACTTATAAATAGCTGTTAATGTATACGGATGCCCATTGTGATCGCATGTGATTCGATTACTCACCGACAACTATGGATAAAGACACCATATGTACCTGTCTCAGCTCAGGGTAAACCTTGGTGGCAGGGAAATCAGTGACGTTGTGCGTCCAACTAGGAGGGCGGACAGTACCGTCAAAGCTCGCGGGATTCTTAAACTTGGTGTCGGCGTCCGAAGTCCAGGCAATATTGTCCGCTACCAAACTCACGTTTACACCGGCTGAATCTAACAAGTAGATAGTATCTGGAGAAGGTTTGTAGTTGTGCAAAATCAGAAATCATGTGCACACTTTCTTGAAAACCTCAAATAGCCATCACCATTAGTGTTAGACTGACAACTGCGTATCAGACCAGCCTTGTGATGATACGTACATAACTTTGCTGCCAAAAATAGCATAGTGCAAACATGCAGTACACACCAGTACAGCGAGCATTCTTCTAGCACTGGTATATCTGTGGTCAATACCTCTAACAATACAGAACAGCGCATTAAGTTACTAAAGCATCCATTTCACGGACATACATCAAGCCAAGCATCGCAACGTATTCAGGCGGTGTGCTGAAATGATGTGTGCTGTTAAAAACTGTTGCAAAAATCCAATTAAGATCCACCATACAATTGCATCAGACACCACATCTTCTGCTTCATTTACATAACCAACGTCGAACACGAAAATGCAGTAACTCTGTAATCACTCTTGTCTTGTTCTCTTGTGTATATTACTGATTGCTTATGAAAATATCTCACACGCTTTGTAAGTAGCAGCGCCTGTTGAGATACATAAAGTATAAAAATATACAGTAGAGCACAATGTCGTTAAGAATTGTCACATACTTAAGTCAGTCCGTTCGCCCAGTCGACTTACCGTTGAAGAAACTGTTAGCGACGTAACCGCAGGGCGCGTACGCTGATCCGTTTGATAGTGTATCCAAAGGATCGCAGGTTGATTGTACACCAGACCCACCGTGTAGTTGATTGTCGTCGCGTGATTTTACATATCTTCTGTGGTTCTGGTAGTAGTTATCTAGGGCGTAGTACATGTAGACCTGGAGTGATATACAATAGGGAACATTGAGAGGAATGAAGGGACAAGGGAAACGAGCTAAGTCCTCACGAATGCCCCAGTAAGCGCAACTGGGACTTTCTCACGTACGTGGACTTGGCCCAAACAGGTACGAAGATATATACATATATGTGTGCGTGTGTGTGTATGTGTGTGTGCGTGTGTGTGTGTGTGTTTACGCACACACACACATATATATATATATATATATATATATATACACACACACACACAC